ACCTGTTTCCCACCTCAGCGCCCTTTCCCATCTCAGCTCTAACCTGAGTGCCCAGGTCCTCGCCCCAACCCTGTCCCTGTCCCCACCTCCCCGTGGCCTAGCTCCACTGCAGGCAGCCTCAGAGGAGGGATGGAGGCTGGACATGGGCAGTGGTGAGGGCAGGGCCCATGGGGGCCCTGGTGTCCTTCCAGCTGCCTAGACTGAGACCCCAGGCCCTTCTGCCAGCCTCCCCCAGTGCCTCTGCTCACCCCACATCACCCGGGCCTGTGCGGCCACCCCAGGGCACACATCCCTGGCCCCAGTGCTGCCTTGGGAGGCAGAGCAAGCAGACAGAGCCAGGAAGTGGCAAACAGCCCCTCCTGAGGGGCCACAGGAAGGATCTCCTGACCACATCCCACCGCCCAGTGCCCAGAAGTGACAGTGAAGGAAGGCTGGCAGCAGGACGAGCTGGGGAGGTCCTCAGGCCGGGACCAGGTAAGGAAGAGGACCAGCCCTTAGCCTTGCTGGACACCAGGTCCTGGTACTGTTACCCCATTTCACAGATGGGAAGTTGAGGCTCAGATGGGCAACTGCTAAATGTTTCCCAATCAGAAAGGGAGGGAGAAGGGCCCATTCCTTTGTCTGTCCCAGGATCTGTCCTGAATGCATGCTCTGGGCCAGGCCCAGCTCCAGGCTCCAGAGACTCGGTGTAGACATGGGCCCTGGTGCTAGAGTCGCACCCAGCCTTAAACGCTGCCATGTGAGAAGGAAGCAGCAGAGGGAGGCCTGGATAGGACAGAAGGAAGGAGCGGCCTGGGGTAGGGAGCCCGGGGCGGGGCAGGGCGTGGGGAGCAGCCTTGGGCGAGGGCAGCAGGGCCTGCAGCTCTGGGACGCCTGGCCGGGAGGGCCTGGAGGCTCTCAAGGAACTGGTCCTCTGCCAACTCCTGGAGGGCAGGGTCAGCCTGGTCCTTCTCTCCTGGCTCCACCCAGTGCCGTGGAGATGGAGTGAGGCCACGGGACCCAGGATGGCCCTACAGGGTGGCAGGACCAGCAGTGGGCACACATGGAGGGTGGGCCCCTGGACCACAGGCCAAGGCCAGGCAGGAAGGGCCAGGTGCAAGGGAGAGGCTGACCACGGCCCAGCTTTTACCCCGCAAGCAGGTGCAACAGGGCCCCAGAGCAGCTGGAGTGAGTGCCTGGAGAGCACGAGTGTGAGGTGGGCTGTGAGCTCTGCCCCGAGGGAAGAGGAGGGAGCTGGCACCCACGCGCTGGGCGCTAAGAGCTGCTACAACCCAGGACATCAGGCAGAGGGAGCCCCGCGTGGCTGGGGCAGCCGTGAGGTGGGAGGGAGGGGGCTGTCTGGGGAGGCTGGAGAGGCCCAAGGCTCTGGTTGACGTGGGGGAGGGGCAGGGGCAAGGCTCCCTGAGGCTGTGGGTGTCGGGGAGACCCCATCCTGAAACAGGCATCTTGGCATCACGTGAGCAGCCCCTGGGTCTGGGTGCCGGAGCCCTAGGGGCAGACAGTCAGAACCTCAGAGGGGCTTGAATGGCGGCTGTCTGGATCCTGGCGTTGGGCAGAGCCTCCTGTGGTCACTGTGGCCTATTCCCCCTCATCCGTAAAGGCCCCTCCTCACCCAAGGAGGCTTCAGGGAGCTGTTAGGCCAGAGGAGCTGCAGACTAGCTTGGCTCTGAGAGTTGGTGGGGGGCCCAGGGTCCCCCTCCCTGCATAGGCCCAGCTCTCTGCACCACCTGCCCCTCCTCAACCTGCAGCCCTGAGCCATCCTGCTCTGAGTGAGGCTGGGGGCTGGAGGCCCACCCTCTGCGCCTTCACCCCTGCCCATGGGGGAGGGGGCATGGAGGAGCAGGGCGGGGGCGGCCCCCTATCCCAGGAACAAGAGCTGGCCTGGCCTCTTTTCTGGAGGCAGAAGAATGGAGCCTAAGGCTGCAGTGCGGGGGTTTGCTGAGGGCTTCTAGGGTGATAATTGGGCAGCGATTAAATGTTCCTGGAGCAGCAGCTATGGCCTGTCACCTGTCACGGCAGCCCTGTGAGTGTGGCCTCTGTGCAGTGCAGCCTGGGCTCCCCCAAATCCATGTCAGGCTTCCCTGGCATTGCAGAGGGTCCACCAAGGGTCTGGGTGGTCAAGCCCAGCCCTGTCGGCTGGGCTGCCCTGAGATCCCCTCGCCTGCCTGCTCCACCCAGAGAGGGAATGCCCCCCTTCCAATCTCCTGACCGGGGCCACCCAGCTGGTCAGGGGACCTGGGTCTGAATGCTGCCCTCAGGGAGGGGTGGCCCTATCACTCAAGGGCTGGCTCTGGCACCCCCACTGCATGCATGCGCTCACACGTGCACAAACACACACACGCATACACACATGTGCCTGAGTTTGGGCCCTGCCAAGCCGGCTCACTGAGTGCCTTTCCTGACAAAGGCCTTCAGACGCAGGCCTGAGCTCACCCCAGACGTGGTCACAGGCTCAGGGCTACACTCAGGCCCAGAGATGACAGGCCGCGCTCACACGGCACAGACATCTTACACACAGGCACTCGCAGGCCAGGCCAGCAGCCGCCTCCTGCTCTGGGATTCCTGTTCTGGCAGCTTCTCTGCCGGGCTCCCCCTCCCTGCTCTGAGCGGCCCTCTACCTTCCCTCTCTGCCCACCCACCTGCCTTTAATTAGAAATACCAGGAGAGCGATTTGGGGGGAGTTTTTTTGCCAGAAAGACGTTCCCCCTCAAGGGTGGATGCTCAGAGAGGAAAAGGAGGTGACAGATTGGCTCAGGGTGGGGTGCTCCCAGGAGAGCAGGAGGGAGGGGGCCTCCGAGGGGGAGTAGGGAGTGGGGATTCCAGAGAGTGTGGGCACCTATACGTCCTTGAGTGTGAACAAGACATGGGGGCGGGGGGGGGCAGTGGGCCTATGTGTGAGGAGGTGGGTGTGGATGGGGGTTGGGGGTGACTGCATGCGGGGACAATGGGTGGGTGGGAGGTATGAGTGCCTGTTGGGGGGATGAGTGTGCGAGGAGGGAGCTCCAAGTGGGGATGAGTGTGCTGTGTGTGTGTGATGGGGAGGGATGCAGGCAGCAGGGCTGAAGTGTCTGGACTGGCGTTGGCTGTGTGTGGCCGTGGGCAGTGACTTGCACTACCTGTGTCCACATAATCGTAGAGCACCTGGGGCCTGTCCCCACCCTTCACGGGGAACCCAGGAGGGCGTCCCTTCCTCGCCACTGTTGCCAGGGAGGCGGAAGGGGCCTCCCTCCCTGGGGGGAATCTCAGCTTCCGGAGCCCCGTTCCTTATATGGTGTTTTGCTTTTCTTGGCCTCTCCTGACTGCATCAGGCTGCCGGCACCTCTCTCCCCTCTCCCCTCTCCCCTCCCCATCCTTTTAGAAGTCTTGGAGCTTCTGACGGGCTTGGCCAGGGATTGGGGGTTCAGGGCCCATACCCTGCAGGGGGTGGCAGGACCCTCCACCTCCTCCACATACCCCTCCCCTGAGGGCAGCTACCAGATTTCCCTGGAGGCACTAAATGGAGAAGTCTTAGGCCTCGGGAAAGAACTGGGAGTGGGGGACCTGGGAGTGGGACACCGGGCAGTCCTGTCCAGCTCTTGCCACAGTCACACACCCAAACCCATGCCAAGGGCCCGGGGAGAGCCGAGGCTGGGGTGCGTGTCCCTCACACACAGGGCAGGACCCACCCGGGGCGGGGACTCCAGGGCCCGGGAGGAGGGACAGACAGGAGTTCAAGGCCATGTCCAGGAAGTCACACCTGACACTGGGGAGCACTTGTGTGTGCACACGCATGTGCACTCGCTCGTTTGCACACGAGGACTCCTTGAAGTCTTCAGCTCAAGGGAAAGGCCTGAATGCCGGTGGTTGCCGGGGTCTCATCTGTGGCTGTGTATCCTGCAAACCCGGACTGGACGGGTGGGGGTCCGAAGCAGGGAGGGCCCAGGAGAGCAGAGTCCAGTACCACCCCACCCCCGGTAGGGAGAGAGGCCACAGGAGGAAGCCCCCCTGAGGCTGGGGGGAGGGACTTCCTCCTTACCTTCGGGTGGGGGCAGCGCAACAACCTGCCTCAGGACGCTCCGGCACACACCTGGTCTCTG